ACACCTGGCGATGCACAGTAGTTACTCCTGGCTCTGCACTTAGGAGTTACTCCTGGCGGTGCTCAGGGGACCATATAGGATGTTGGGAATCGAACCTGGGTCGGCCACGTGCAAGGCAAATGCCCTACCCGCTTTGCTATCTCTCCAGTCGCCTCGAGTGAACTTTCATATATACATATATATATATCTGAAAATACGTATAAATGCATATATAGATATATTCCCCTCTATGAATAGTTGCCTACTATTTGAAACCCATCAAATGTGGTGTGCTACTTATGGAGAATGGGTAAGGAGTGTCTCGGCCACGCAGTCCAGGAATATGTTCACTCGTACATGAGGCTCGGCCAGAGAGTGTGGGGAGCAGCCTTGAGCGTGGTGGCGGTTGGATTCTGGAAGTTTTCAGCTGCCGGGGCTGGGTCCCTTGGGGCAGGGAGGGCTCTCACCCACCCCCCTTCTGCGGATACCTGGCTTAGGTAGTAGACACCTGACTTTTAAATCCATGTTACCAAGGTCTTATCTTAGATAAGACAGAAACAACAGAAACACAGGTGGCGTGACAGAGACACCTGAGTTAAAGTCAAAATATATGTTTGTTTTCGAATACAAGTTACTGTGTTTGGCATATTGAATATGTAGCTTGCCAGGCGAGATACTCTTAGTAGCTTGCCGGGCTCTCCTAGAGAGGCAGAGGAATCAAAACCGGCTCGGCCAGGCTGGCTGTGTGCAAGGCAAACGCCCTACTGCTGTGCTATGACTCCAAAAAACTGGGGCGATAGCACAGCGGTAGGGCGTTTGCCTTGCGTGCAGCCAGCCCAGCTGAGCCGGGTTTGATTCTTCTACCCCTCTTGGAGAGCCCGGCAAGCTGCCGAGAGTATTCAATATGCCAAACACAGTAACCAGTCTCAAAAATGGAGTTTATTACTGGGCCTGCTCGAGCAAATCGATGAACAACGGGAGGATAGTGACAGACAGTGAATATAAGTTTGGGACTAAAGACATCCCTATTCATTTGCTTTCCCCTTTCTCCCAGTGGTTTCTCTCTCCCTTCCTCCACCCCTTCTTCCTCTCCATCACTGCCTTAATCCCTCCTCTCCATCCTCCTCAACATCCAACTGCATTTCAGATGGTTTCATTAACTCCCTGCATCTATTTGTTTGCTGGAATATTTGTTCTGATTTCTTGGTCAGAAAAAAAAAACATATGATAAATATATGCATGTATGCAAGTAGGATCTGTATGGTTACAAAGATATGTGCATATCAATGCGGTATTATCTGTTTACTTACGCTGGCTAATACAGCAGGGTAACAGAGATAGGAGCAAATCAAAGCAGTAGATTATTTTTAGTTTATTCATATCTGACTCCAGGACACTACCAGTTTAAACACGAGACGTTGCTTCCATGCTTAATTCTATTAGGCTTAGGCTATTAAGGCTAATTTATGTTTCAAAGGCATATACTAACTGATCATATGGGATAACATATGTAAAAGTACTCTGTAATTAAAGTCTAATGCAAATGTGTTATTACCACAATAATTTTCAATTTCCATGCATGTGTATGTAGCTATATCTATATATTTCAAAATTGATGCAATCTAACACAACAGTCTTTAAATACCTATTCCCCAGACCAGTACCTGTCAGTGATAAACTTCTTATTGACTCGAGGCCAAGGGAGAAGTATCAGAATAATATATTACATTTTTTACAATGACAAATGTTTTATAGTTAGAACAAGGCTTTTTTACTTGGAAATTAAATTCTTACTGATTTTCATTTGTTTGCTTGAAGGTCCACTTGTTTTATAAAATTACACTGACAACAAACGGTAAATTTCAAAACCCTTATTTGCAAAAGAAAACCATGGGAAACTTTCTTTTGAGATTTTTACTAATCTGCGGAATCTATTTTATTATTGGGGTGGAGGGGGGCACTCCCAGGGCTGCTCTGGGACTATTCCTCATTCTGCTCAGGGGCAACTCCTGGCATTGTTTGGGGACCATATACCCACATCGAACCCAGGGCAGCCAAAATGCGAGACAAGAGCCTGGTCACCTGTACAAGCTCCCAAGCTCCTAATTGGGAGTGGGGGTGTGGCAAGGGGGCACATTTGGGCAGCAAGCACATTTCCTATTTGGCTGGGGACATGCAGGAGACATCTCGCTCCCATGAACTTTCCTGCCTCTGGTCTTGGAGTCTGAAATCTCTGAACATTGCTTTGGAGTTGACCCACCTGGTCACCTACTGTCTGGGGCAAGTCCCAGCAGCCTTAACAGGAAGAAACCCCAAGCTGGAGGTTTGCCCCAGGGCAAGGAAGAACTAAATTTTTTTGGGGGGGAGGGGGTCACACCTGGTGATGCACAGGGGTTACTCCTAGCTCTGCACTCAGGAATTACTCCTGGCGGTGCTCAGGGGACCGTATGGGATGCTGGGAATCGAACCCAGGTCGACCGCATGCAAAGCAAACGCCCTACCCGCTGTGCTATCACTCCAGCCCAGAAGAACTAAATTCAACAGACAAAGCCACTTCCATGTCCCCGTGTGTGGGTGCCTGGTCCCTAAGGGGTGCACACCCCTAAGACTGGCTGCAGTGTGGCCAAGCCAGGCTACTTCCAGGATCTGGGATCCCCCCTGCAAGCTGAGCCCAGGCGGCACCTGCCCTTTGATCAGCGTGGCACCAGCCTGTTACAAATATGCTCCTATTAAGCCATCTCCAGCCAGCCTGAGGGCATCTGTCTAGAGTTGGAGGGAAAGAGCCCTCCTAGGCCCTGCGGCCCTCAGGGCTGCGTTTCTGCTGCACGTTCGGGGAAATGCTTTGCTGGGAGCTACAGAGGCAAGGAACCTGGGACAGTGGTCGGGCCCAATGCCATGAAGGCAGGCGCAGGCTCCCCCTGGCACAGGGATTTCAGAGCTGGGCATGGAAGCCCAAGCACATGCTGGCCCTGCCCATAACACTCGCAGTAACGCCACTGGAGCAATGCACTGCCCACTTCGAGCTCTGCCAGGTGTGGCATCTCGGGGCTCGAGGCCTTTCAAGGATCCCCATATTCTGAGACCTTGTCACACAGGAGGGACCATGCAGAGCTCCCCCCCCCCCCCCCCGTTCCAAAGCAAAAATGAATGAAAAGGGGCTGGAGCCGATAGTACAGCGGGTAGGGCATTTGCCTTGCATGCAGCTGTCTCGAGTTCGATTCCCAGAATCCCATATGGTCCCCTGAGCACTGCCAGGAGTAATTCCTGAGTGCAGAGCCAGGAATAACTCCTAGGCATCGCCAGGTGTGATTCAAAAAGAAAAAAAAAATGAATGAAAAGACCCCACTTATCTTTGGAAGCTATTTGGGGTGAAAGAAAAGTCACAAATGTTTCCACACACTGCCAGTATTTCCCTATTGGGTGGGGTGCAACTTCCTGAACACCCCACGCCCCTCTTCCCTTCTTTCCTGGGTCGAAGGTGACTGCAGTCCCAAACTGGGAGGGGAGGGGACGGTAAGGGACGGGAGGGGGAGAGAAGAGAGAGAGGAGAGAAGAGAGAGAAAAGAGAGCGTGAGAAAGGAGAGAGGAAAGAGAGAAAGTCATGAATGACCAAACCCCAAGGCTGAAGTGATACCATGAGGTCTGTCACTGACGTTCACAGGCAAGCAGATAGGGCAAGAAAGCTGTTCACGTATTTCCCATAAGCTGAAATCAAGAAGGGCCCAAACCCCAAACCCCAAACAAAACCAAGCACCTTCCCAAGGCCCTGGGGGAGCAGTTCAGGCAAACCCGGGCAATAGCACAGAGAGGATGGAGGGGTGGGAGGGAGGGAGGGAGGGAGAGAGAGAGGGAGAGAGAGGGAGAGAGAGAGAGAGAGAGAGAGAGAGAGAGAGAGAGAGAGAGAGAGAGAGAGAGAGAACATTGTGGGCATGACCCCGCCAGGCTCGGCCACTCGCAGCCACAGTGGGCCCTGCCCGATGAGGGCTTCCGGTGGCTTCAAAGAAGGAAATTTTCAGAGTCCCGACCTTAACATTATCAGCTTTGAAGTCGTGCACAATGACATCCTTTGGTTTCCCGTCCAAGGCACAGGGGGGTATTTGTTCCAATTTTAAGCCTCCATTTACTCACCAGAAATGTAAAAATATTTTCACTGAAGCTCAAGGCAAAGAAGCAGACTAAAACAACAAGAATGAATGGGGGGGGGGGGGGTCAGTGCAGAGCAATAGTACAATACTTGCCTTGCACAGGGCCATCCCAGGTTTGATCCCTGGCATCCCATATGGTCTCCTGAGCATCACCAGGAGTAATTCCTGAAGGCAGAGCCAACCCCTGAGCATCGCTGGATGTGACCCCCCAAGCAAACAAAAGGCAGTGAATGGCAGGGCAGGGGGGAGGGTGGCACAAACATTCTTTTCAAGGGATACCCTACTGTGCTATGGGGTTCAAGTGGTCCAGTGTGCTTGAGTGGTCTGAACCACAACATCACAACATCATAGAAGCACATGGTTTCAAACCATCCCTGATCCAACCTGTCCTCACCAACGCCCCTCTCCTTGCAAAGAAGGCCCCTGGGGCTCCTTCCATGGTTGTCATCCCTAAACTGGGAGACTGTGCCATGAGCACCTCTGACTTCTCCAGCAAGCTCCACTGGGACCACTTCACAGTGGCCGACTCGGGAATGCCTCTGCCCAGCCCAGCCCTCCACCCTGTGTCCCCACCAGCATCCGGTGAGCAGAGAGCAGACAACTCCTGACCTGCTTATAGAATAAAGATGGCAAAAACGGGCTCCCCACCATCCTCCCCAACCCCTGGACCAGGTTTTATCTTTTTCTCTTTCTGCCTGTCTTGGGGTAGATTCTGTTATCAGGGCCTCATCTGTGATTCGGCCGTGGACACCAGAACCTTCCCTGAGCATTGTTCTTGGATCTGTTCTCATTCCCTGCCACGATGAAAGCTCTGAGGCCGCCCCCACCCCCACCTGCAACCCCCGATGCTGGAAAAGAGAGATTCTGGGAACCTACCAAGGTCCATCGGAGAAAAGGGAATCGCACCCACATGCGTCATTTGCATGATGCGATGCTCTCGGTAAAACTAATCACTGAACTGGCGCCAACCCTGGAAGGAAAACAGAAGGAAATCTGTTGCCTTGAGATGCATCTTTCTTCTTCTTCAAAGAACCCAGAGTTGCTCTTATAGCACACAATGTTAGGCTAGGCCTTGGGCCAATTATTGTCAGGAGCATCTGAGAAACCTCTCAGCTCCCGTGAGCTGTGTTGTTTTGTGATGACTCCAACTATTTGTTTGCTTAAGCAAGGCTGGGGGTGGGGGTGGGGGGGGGGGGGAGATTGCTCAAAAAGTTCTGTGAAAATCTGCGCTCCGCACAGGTCCCTCCCAGCAAACACAAGCAGGCAGCTCCCCGGCGTGCGGCAACCACACGCATTATCTCTGCCTTACAGGTATGAATAATGTATAAACAGACAGAACCCCTTCAAACACACCAGGACTTGATTCACAATAGGAATGTAAACATGACCCAGAGCTGAAGTTAGACGTTCACTCCGAGTTGTCTGCACAATGAAGCAAGCTTTTGACTGGGGCCCGGTGGGATTGTCTGCATGGGTGGGGGGCAATTCTCCTCAGGGCGAGCCCATACCAATGCGCTCTTTCAAGCATCCCATGGAGGGCCTCTTCAGAAAATCCTCAAGAGACCCTGCCTGGTCTGGGGAGGGGGGGCTCCATTTGGCCTTCAGGGCAAAGCGACCACAGCCCTCCACAATTACACACACAGAGGGACTCTTTGGCACGGAAGAGCTCTAAAGTAGTGCTTGTGGCTTGCTCAAGTTCAAAGACAAGACTAATTAAAGGAACCTTGGGCTCACACAATATTAAAGTGAAAAAGAGGAGAGCCCATGAAGAATGGAAAACTCGGAAGTAAAGCCCCCAAATACACAACTTGTAATTTCTAATAAAGCAGGGAGGCAGAACTTGAGTCACTTAAGAGAATGTTCAGTACCCAATTAGGAGCCACCACCCCTCACTCAACAGCTTAATTACCCCGGAGATTAATTCCCTGGGTGGCAAACCCCAAATCCCTTCCCGGCCCACTCCATTGCTCAGTGGGAAGTCAGGGGAAATGAGGGTCTAGGTTAGGTTTGAGGCTCACAGCTCTTCAAGGGTTCTTTAGATCTCAGAAATCAGCATCAAGGGACAGGCAGAGACAAAGACCACTGGTTCATTAGAATTATGAAAACCAACGCGCTCTGGGTAGCTGGAAGGAGTCAACTCAAGTTCGTTTTCAGAACCTAAAGAGTGAAGCGCTCTGACTCGATGCTAACAAAACAAAAGGCAGAGAAAAGTCCAGGATGCTAAAGGACTAATTTCTTGTCTTCTTTTTTTCTAATTCTTTTTTTAAGAATTCTGTACTGGTACTGGGATCCATGGTGGTGGAAAATGGGCACTGGTGGAGGGATGGGTATTTGATCATTGTATAATTGAAACCCAAGCACAAAAATTTGTAAGTCTACAACTGTACCTCATGGTGTTTCATTAATAAAAATGAAAAAAAAAAAAGAATTCTGTACTAGAGAGATGTTACAGCAGGTAGGGTGCCTACCTGGTACCTGGCTGAATCAGGTTCGATCCCTGGCACCCCATATGGTCTTCTGAGCTCTGTCAGGAGTGATACCTCAGAGCAGAGCCAGGAGTAAACCCTGAGCACCTCCAGCAAGCAGGCGATGGGGTGGGGATGGGGCTGAGAACTCCTCTAGGGTAATGCTAGTAGAGAGTTCAGAGGGATGGAGTGAGTGTTTTGCAAGTACTGGAGCCCAGGTTGGACCCCTGCCCCCCCCCCCCCGCCCCCAGCCTTCTCCCAACATCCCCTGGGCGACAGTTCATCACTGGCCAGGTCCTGCACACAGGGCCATTGGCCCACACAGCTGGGCCAAGTCCCATCACAGCTCACCCTAGACCACAGAGCACCCCCCTCACCAACACCCCCTTTTGGGAGGTGACCTCTGTCCCCTATTCCAAGTGTCCTCAAAATAACTTTCCTCCTTTTGTTTGATTTTCATTTTCACAGAATAACGTCGGAGAGTTAGGACTTGGCCCAGATTTTGGTTATCCAAAATCTATTGCTATTTTAATATGCTTACATTTTGTTTCCACCCCCCTTTTTTTTCCCCCTAAATCATTAATCCAGTGCAAGATTCAAAAGACGATATAGTGAAAAGTAAGTCACCCGCACCTCTATTCTCAGCCACCCAATTCCCTCTGCAGCAGGAAAGGGTAAACAAACAAAACCCAGTGTATTCTACCACTGGGGAAAACCAAAACTAAACAAAAGACCTAAAACAAATAAGTCGGGCATACTCTTTCAGATATCATCTATGCAAACAGGAGCATTCCACCCCCTCCTTCTTTCAAAACAAATGCCTTTTGCAAACTGTTCTGAACTGTGCATGCTCTCACTAAACCCAACTTCATCTCTGTTCAGAGTGCCTGGTGTGGAGGGTTAAGGGCAAGGGCAGCTTTAAGGGACACAGCAAGAGAACACGCTTTTTTTTTTTTTTTTTTTTTTGGTCTCAGTGAACATACTTGAGTGCTTTGTCAATGTGCTGTGCCCGAAAACACTCACTGCAGCTGGGTCTCGCTTCTCCACCTGGGTCGCCGCAGTGGTATCAACTATTCTGAATGTCACTGATCAGACAGGTGAAAATTATCTCCAAGTTTTGGTTTCGAGTTCTCCTATTAGCAGGGCAGGTCAGCACCTTGCTGGGTGTTAAAGACTCATTTATTTCCCTTCAGTCAACTGAAGGTTTCTATCTTGTTGACTTTCTACTCCTTTCTCCTATTTTTTTTTTTTAAAAAAACTAAAGGCAATCTTGATTTTTTGAATAGCTCTCTATTGGGTTTTCAAGACCATTCATACAATAGCAAATAACTGCAATCAGCGAGTAGAGAGGTGCTGAGATATTCATTCTTATTTTTACCAGTGTTCCAAGGTTAGTGGACTGACCAGAAAGCTCCCTCGAAGTTCGCAGCCAGGATTAATGAATTTGTGTAGTTAGTCTTCTGTGTGTATTTACAACATCAAAAGTCCCCTTAGATTAAAGAAGAGATTATACAGGAACTAATCTCTTTCTATCTAATGAAAAATTTGTATGTTCTTATTTCCTTGTCAGATTTCATTGTACAAAGAGCAACTGAGAGACACTAAGTATATTAACTCTCATTGTGGTTTGGACCAAAACCTACTCGAGCTTGGCTCTCTGGCCAAGTCACATGGTAGAACCCTGTCAGAACCAGGTGGGCAGAGACGAAGACTAACACAAATCTTCCGCAGGAAGGTTGCCCACCACCCACCTCCTCCCTGCCCCTGAACAAGCCTTCCCTAACACACGAGGAAGAGAATGACCGCATAGCCTCCCATGATGGAAGCTTCCAGAAGGAAGCTCCCGGAAGTGCAAAGGGAAGGAAATGCTAAGCCACATGAACCATGCCGCTGACCACTGTCACCACTATCAGACATTTCGGGTTCTACACAGGCTACTGGCTCCCAAGCATTCTCTGGCCTAGCCCTGGGACTCTGGTCCCCACTCTACCAGAAAAAGGGTGATAGGTTGAAAAGAGACCAGATCACTTGAGGAAAGAGCCAGGAAGGTATTTCAAAAGGCGGGAAGGATTGTATTTTGTCACGTGGGGGCCTGGGGGAAACCAGAGCTGTGAGCAATGGGAACTAAAATAGAAAGAGACTCAAGACAATGAGAACTCACTTCTAGGGCCTGGCACGTGCCCCCCCACCCCCCCGATGTACAGAGCAGGAGGGGGTTTGGTGGGCTTGGGGGGCAGGACCTGAGCTTGTGTTTCTAGGCTGTGGCTCAAGGACTTCAGTTTCAAACTGCATCTGGCAGGCTTGAGATACAGGCCCTGGGACCATCACCCAGGTCTTGTCCATCTTCTAGGCCAATGTTGTCAGAGCACATTTCTGAAAAGCTGAGCTTATGCCTTAAAGGAAAGGTCACGTTGTCCTCTTCGATCCTCCGTTAGTCTGTTCATTCCACTCAAAGGGAGTTCTTGCCCTAGGAGGAGGAGAAAAACTCCCCCCGGAACCAAGTACGTTATAACAGGGCAGAATTTACCCAGCTGAAAGGTCCGGGGAGAGGAAGGAGAGGAAGCGGGTTTGGAGTCTCGGGCGTCCTGCTAGAGTCCACGCTGGCAAAATACCTCCAAGGTGGACCATGCCAGGAAAATTGAGTGACGTCATGGATGCCCCCCAGGGCTGCTAGCACCCCTCCACTCCATGCCAGATGGCGCAGTCAGAGCCTTCTGGCAGGACCCTCCCAGCAGACCTACCCCCTGGGATGTGGACGGTCCTGAAGGCAGAGACCCCCATTGCCAACACGGAGGGAGACTTTTTGGGCAATGATTTCTTTAAAGTTAAATGGGACTTGAGAACACAACCTTGCCACTGTAGTTACCGATGGGACGATGAAGATGGATATTGAAGACATACTACTACGACTCCTGACAATCTCTGTCTCTCTCTCACACACACACTCATACACACACTCACAGACTCTCACACTCTTACACACATTTAGGCACACACACACATACACACATTTATGCACATTCTCACACACACACTCACACAATCATACACATACTTTCTCTCTCTCTCTCTCTCTCTCTCTCTCTCTCTCTCACACACACACACACACACACACATACACATGGCATCAGAATTTCTGCATACAAATACCACGGGGCACAGAGCCCCTCAACACCAAGGAGAGAGTGCAGGGAACTCAAAGCAGCTGTGGTTAGGTTACAAGGCAGAGCAGACCGCACTGTAGTCACTCAGACGCACTCTGGGGAAACGGGGCTCCCAGATTCATACGTCCTGCATCAGCCCAGCCTGTGGGGCTGCACACAGTTCCAAGGTCCCTGATGAAACAGCAGGAAGAGAAATGGCAGGATCACCCTCCCCCCACGACAGGAGGACCACACTCTATCCCCAAATTATATACTAATAGCAAAAGGCATGTAATTGGCAAAACTTTGCATGTGTGAACAGATGATGCCATGTCTTTTTAGGCAACATCTTAAAATTTACT